AGTTGCAGCGTTAATTGACTATCTGCCATCTAAGAGCGCGGAGCGCGCTCCTCTCAGCCATCTAGAGCCACTAATTAGCTCCCATTCACAACGAGAGTCCGCCATTTCGCGTGCGCCGGCTTAATGGCAGCTCGTGCAAACTTTTGCCATACGGTGTACACCGGTTGAAGTTTCCCCGTGCAAGGTGGATAACCGTGACGCGAATTCGCGAGGTGTATTTTTAGGATCCGTTCCCGTAGGACGTCGTTGGATGCGCCTCGGCGACCGACAAGAACGCGGGAGAAGGAGAAGGATTCACGGTTTAGGAATGCCGTCTCGTTTCTCGGCCTTCCTCTCCGTCCTGTTGCGCCCGTTGCAACCTACCTGCGTGATCTCTTGGCATCGGTATGCCATTATTGTGCAGCAGGTCGAGATTTTCGGGCCGCGATCCTCGCCTCGGCCGGTGCAGGCGGTTCCCCGTTACGAAGGGTTCCCGGGGGGTGGAGACGGATCCTGTCCGGGATAAATGCACCCTAGATCCTCGACGGCTAATAGACAGCCGGAACAAATGGATTTCACACTCGCTGGCTACTTTCTAGTGGCAGATGCTGGGAACGGCTCGGGAAACGCTTGAAAATGATTCGTTTCAGGCGAGAACTGTAAATTCGCCGTAACTGACGCTCAGATTCTGCACAAAAATGGACAATTTCGGAAATGGAGATACGATCATTCGAACCTCGCGGCTCGTTTTTTATGGTTGTTGACAATCGGTAACTGTCAATTAGGGAGAATTATATTGCATTACTAGAAATCTCCATCATCGAGTCAGAGACTCGACAAATTACAACGTGGCGTTAAATGCAACGTATCCTCTTATAAAATATGAAAAATATTGAGGAACTTATTTTTCTAATATTATAATTTGTTCTTCTAATGTCACGATATGCGTTATAAGTATACTGCGGATGTTTGTGTAAAATCAAAAATATATTCGACAATTGCAGCGATAAAAACACAATTAGATCTCTCTGTAGTAATTTAAGTGAATTGAAAATAACACGTGGACGTCTTTGAGTTCTTTTAACGTTTACGTTGAATTATAAATTTATCATATACCATCTCGGAGAAAAGGAGGGTGCAGATGCGCGCACGAGGCGCACAGAGAGCGCACTACTAATTCGAAGTGTCTGTAAAATAGTTATTTAGAGAGAATTGACTGATTCTTGAAGATTTGGAAATGAGTTTTTGGTTATACAGGGTGTTCGCGCTTTTCTTGCAAACAGTTAACATTAGGCCGAGCCAATGAGCGGAACTGTGCTTCGACCGCTCATTGGCTCGGCCGCCTCGCGTCAGCTGATCTCGCCTCTCATTGGTCACTGTTTTTAATTAATAACTCGTGAACGGTGCCTCGGAGAAAATTTTTGTAAAGGAAAAAGTCACTTCAAATGACCTCAGGATCCCCACATTTCTCGCTTGTACAATAATTTTGGGACACCCTGTATATTTGCCCAAACATACATTTATACACCTTCCTAACGCAGCGAAGCTTCAAACGGAAAAATCTTATTCCTTTTTCTCGACTTATTTTCGCACGTAGAATCATCCCTTGCTCGATGGTGCCATCCATCTGGTAGCACCCTATATGCATGCATGTGTGTGTGTATGTGCCTTTCTATGAAGCATGAAAGAGTCGTAATATATCGAGGGAATGTGAACGAGTATGAAAGGAAGATCGAGGGAAAGAGCAAAACGTGTGCGCGCGCGAGTACCATACATCGAAGACGTGTTCACCATTCGTTATTAATAAATATATTTTCATTTTGTTCCTTTTAATGAATACCAATCATACCTTTATACGTGATTCCTACGCTACATGCGTATACATACATATATAGATTTCACGTTTGCACGCGTTGTGGAAACGGTTCGAGGATTTTAATGCGCACCGAAGTATCGAAGAGATTTCAACGCGTCTTGAAGTACCGTTTGGGGAATCCAATGCTTGTTAATGTACCGCTCCAGGCATTTTATTGTTTATACTGGGTGTGCCAAACTTTTCACTCCGAACGTCCGAGCACGCTGCGCCTAACCACGTCTCAATTTATGGAAGCCTAAGCAATCTTTCGAGTAAATTAAAGTGATCGAATATTTTCGAATACATCGATATTCAATATTATTGTATTATATATAATATAATATAATATAATTATACAATTACATAATTAATATCATTTTACAATAATATAATATTATTATACAATTATATAATTAATATTATTATACAATTATGTAATTAATATTATTATACAATAATATAATATTATTATTATACAATAATATTCAATATTTTATTGTATATTTTTAATAAATAATAATATTATATTATTGTAATCATATA